TTACACAGTACAAAGTAGCCACAGTACCTCAAAGGATACATATGATAAGGTACTGGTACATATGGCGTTGGCGCGGAGATACATGTTGCTCCTGCAAAATTTAAGTACCCGGTCAAGCAGGGCGGTTCGGTGGTTTGGTCCTCATGCGTAAACAAGAGCTCCTGCCTGTGCTCCATACCACCGTCCAGCTCGTTTGAGAGCTACTGCGAATATGTCCAGCTCCTACCACCTCAGCGCAAGCAGCTTTAGCGGCATATGTTACGCGGCGGAGCATTTGGCTCTTTACTATTTTTCATCCGAAGACATTTTGTTTTGTGCGCCAACACTGTCTTGGAGGCAGAGTTGATCTTTAACACGACGAGCTACACCCCTCTCTTTTCTTCCTTCCCCTTTCGTTGTGTTTTGTGAGATTACGAATAAAACAAAGATGAACATAGACTCACCGCCGGTCCGCTTTTGTATTCATCTATTAAGCCTTCAGTATCGCTACATTTGTAACTCGGTAGTCGCGCGGTCAGAGCAGAGGACACGGGAGGAATGGCTTCTATCAACAAAAGCAAAGGTGCACGGCTGATGGTTCAAAATACGATGTACGTGCGAATTTGCTGGTTTGGAAGTACACAGTACAGATTTTAGGCGGCACATGGTACAACAATTCAAGTACTGTACCTGGTGTCTGAGCGGCACGGAGAAATCACCCTCTTTGCCCCAGGCCAGTCCACACTGTTGCTCACCCACCCCCTCCCCTACCGGCCACCCTCATTTCCACCCGAGTCGACCTTCGAATTTTGGGGGGTTTTGGCACCGCCCACCTACTTACCTCACACACATTTCCCTCTCATTTCTCGACCCTCCTGGCCATTGCGCCCTTCGTTCCTACCCTTTGCTATGGCGGTTCAGTACGCTGTTGGCCTAAGCAGACCAAAACACCACCCAAAGTACCCGCCATTGGTGTTCATACAACCGGCACACCACAACCGTACATGACCCAAGAGGAGACACACGAAAACACGTACACACACGCCCACCCTGCCTTCCCTTTTGTCGCTCCCTCTCTGCCCACACGCGCCGCGCTCCCACCTCCCCTCTCCGTTGCCCTCCTCAATCAGCCCAACTGGCCCATAGTAAAAAGGCCCGCCTTCTCTCTCTCCCCTACGCGCACGCACTCTCTCCCTCTCTCCTCTCCTCTCTTTTCTCTTCTCTTTTCGCACGCAAAATCTCCCATACAACAGCTTCCCCCAGCAAAACACCTCACAGTGAAAGCCTCGCATCGTCCCATACAAATCCACGCCTCATTCACTTACATTCACTACCATCCATACAACTTTGTAAGTACTTTGAAATTCACCTTCTTCCGCTGCTATTTGCAAGTCACTCCCATGCGCTCTACTCTCGACACCTTCAGTCGCTTTCACCCTGCTATTTGTGGTCCAGTGGACTTCTTTTGCAGTGATTTGCGACTTTCGACAACGGAACAGCCATTTTGGTTTGCTCATCAACTGTGTGCAAGCTCATCTTGTGTCGTGGTCCATCGCATTCGCGTTTATTTTGCTCGCCCGCGCGCACAGGTCCCTCCGCCGCAACAAGATTGCGATTTTCTTGACAAAATAAGCGCACCTTCACAAGACTGGGAACCAGTCTGATTTTCATCCACAATGCCTTTTTCATTTCCAGCATCACCAACTCCGCGATCACTCATCGCGACATTTGCAACCAACCACCACCACCCGCGTCGTTTCAATTGCCATTCATGTCATTCTACGCACTTGAAACAAATGCGACTGACATTGCTTGGGCAATTGAATCGATATGCGTGCAGTGCCCTTATCGCCACTGCAAATTGATTTTTATTTTCCTTCTGTGACTTGCTTTTTTTTTCGCATTGGCAACAAGTGAATCTGTTTTGTCGCATATGCTGTGGCTCGTCACAAGGACCAGTGTTCTATGACGACACATCTTGCAGGATCACTGGTGAGACGAATTCTTGCTAACCATTCCGAAGCATCATGCCTAAGGCCGCAGCAAAGAAGACCGGTAAGGTCGAGAAGCGCCGAAGCAAGAAGGACCCCAACGCTCCCAAGCGCGGTCTGTCTGCCTACATGTTCTTTGCGAACGAGCAGCGCGAGAACGTCCGCGACGAGAACCCTGGTATTTCTTTCGGCCAGGTTGGCAAGCTTCTCGGTGAGCGCTGGAAGGCCCTCAACGACAAGCAGCGCACTCCGTACGAGGCCAAGGCCGCTGTCGACAAGAAGCGGTACGAGGACGAGAAGGCTGCTTACAACGTGAGTCTAAGTCTCTTCACGGGTTTGACTGATTGACTTTGTACAGGTCGTGCTTATTGTTGAAACATTACACTGACGCAAAAACAGGCATAAGCAATGAGTTGACGGCACTATTTCTGTTTTGTTTTAATATTCATGTGTTATTCGGTATGGACGGGTTGTGGCGCGGGGACAACTGACAAGGGATTGAGTTTCGTGTACATTCTCGGGTCATATGTCCGGCTGGTTTTTTTATCTTCTGCTTTTACGGGATGTACGGGGATTATTTGAATTTACTCGGGTTACGACAACATCGGCCATACCAACATGGCAGCGTCCTCTTGCCCAGTGTTGTCCTTCACTTGTATGTATTCTACATTGGTCTCTTGTAGAGAAGTGTGGACACGGGAGATGGTATGTATGACTAGTCGAAGGATATTGGAGTAAAACAAGGCTGCTGCGCCAATTTTCTAGACCTTTTTTTTTTTTTCCTTTCATGTCAAGCTCCTCGTTGCTGAAGCTGCACTTTTGGTTTGTTGCTGCGAGGCTGGATTCGTCCCGATCCGTCCCGTTGGACACAACAAGTAGTCTGACAGCCTTGCAGGCGCTGACCGCTCTCTGTTTCTTGATATGCAGTCTGCCAGCCAGGAGCATTTGTTTACGTCTGTTTCCGTACAGTTGTATTGTAGCCCACAAAGAGCGATCGTAAGGAGAATCCATTCACTCTTGGCTCAAGCGCACGAACTGTTGAAGTTCGCCTCGTTGCGTCCATGCACGACGTTGGTCGAGATAACGAACGATTGTATTCCATATTTGTGCACGCCATTTGTCGGAAACGGACGGTTTGGGTCGTCCCAGGCAGGAAATCCGCTTTGTGACTTCGTGGCATATATTCCAGCCAGCGGTCTTCATGCAGCTTGCTCCTTCTTGTAGCCACCGAACCGAGAACCATACCTGCCTTCTCCAAGTCCCCACATGCACTAATATCCAATCCATCAATTGCCATCGCCGTTTCTCGCGCAATCTACGAGTCGTTGCCTGATTCACTTACAAAACAGACGAACCCAGGGCCTAAGGCCGCACATTATCTGCCCGCCGCTGATTCTGTTAACCGTCACCCTCGCTAGGACGATACCAAGAACACAGGCGGCCACCGGCTCCAACAAAAAGTGTGATTAGTAACCAGGGCAGACTTCAGACAACAGCCGAGAAAGTAATTCACGTTGCCGACACAGTATGACTTGAACATCGGTCCACTGTCGCATCGACGACTTCATCTGGCAGTCCACAAGCAGAATGGCCCGTTCCTGACGATTCTATTTCGATTGGCGTGGACTCTTGTTGGATGCAAACTCTACAAGATAGATGTAGAGCCAGCCGGCTTGCATAACGCTGCTGCAAGAGCGCCGACAGGGCCTATCACCAGCCGGCCACGTCAGTCCCGCACATTTCGTGCCAAACATGGAGCGGCAGCAACAGTTGGGGCGGAGAACGAAACGTAGGTCGAGTTTCTCAGAAGAAGACATACAAAAATGGAGCCTTGAGAGGTAAGCTGGAGCCAATGCGGTCAATGCAGGCAGTACAGACACAGCCAATGTGCGCACAAAAATGAGAAACTGGTGGCACTTGTTTGCGGTCTTTCCCCTCAATCTTTATTGATTGCTGTTTGGTATATTTGTTGGGCACCACTGCGATCCCGGTGCAAAGCCCAGCCCAATGCACACTGACGAGAAACGAGAACTCGTGCATATCTCCGCTTGCCTCATGTATTCTAGAACTCTTCTATTGCTCCCTCGTTTCCTCCGCAGTCCTTCTTACCCCTACTCTAACTCCTCTACCGCTTCTGCCAATTCCTGGCACAGCATCAAAACACGATCCCCTTAGAAAGCTTGCCCTGCAAGTCTGACGTACGGGCACGGCCACTTCACACTGTCGCTCTCAAGCACAGCCTTCAGACAAGGTGACAACTGTGCGTTCGTTCTCGAGTTCAAACTCCTGTTTTGCACTAGGCGCAGGAGATATCATCAGCAGCCCAGCTGAGTCGTTGCATGTACTGGGAAAAGCCTCGAAGGCTCGCCAGCGTGGAATCGCCAGACCGCACTTGGGTATTTTATTATTCATTGGTTGTTTCTTTGCAAGTTCATGCGTTCCCTGACCATATCCTAGAAAGAGTGTGGCTCCTTCACATTCGTGGCTGCTGTCGTCAGAGTCGGACACATTGAACGGCGTTTCCTGCTTTGTGGGCGCCGTCGTCGTCGTTTTTTACGCCGCCAGACTGGCATGGTCCGTCAACGACGTCGTGTATCTCTATCGGCCAAGACACCGACTTTTATGCCTGTTTTGAGAGGCGCAATATTCAAGCGAAGAGGGGGAGAAAGGACGATTGGTATCTGGCTGCCGGTTTGTCGACGAACAGTGGTTGAGGTGACAAGAGGCTGCCACGGTTACGTGACGAGAGAATCTCAAGCAAACCGTTGGAAATTCGACCCGCTCTCTCTACGGTCAGCGACACCATATACCACCACGGCAACAATGATATCCTGACGCGCTTCAAAGCCGTCTCCTCTATCTTTTCCTTTTGTTCCAAACGCTCTCTACTATTTTCTCTTATCACTTTCGCACTTCACATCCGTTTCGCCCAGTCATTTTCTCCAGCGAAGAAAAGCTCATTAACGTCGGCTTTTTGCATGGCCGTCACATGTCCATGTCCATATTGTCATCATCAAGCGAAGTCTAGTAATGAGTGGCATGCCCAACAATGGCGGCCGGGTCGCCCTGCTGCTCGAAGGATGCTACAGCGAGGCCATGGCGGCCAATATGGTCGCTGGCTGTGTGGATAATCTTCGCGGTTTCCTCGCTGAGCCACTGCATCCGCTCATGATTGCCTTAGCCGACGAGATGCGCAAGTGTGGGAACGTTTTCCTTCGTATTCTCGAACAGGCTCGAACACACCCAGGTCGTGTACCAACCATGTTGGGCTATCTTGACATTCTATTGCCTAGCTTTCAAAAGAGCGTTGACGACATCCGCACTCACTATGAAGACAAGACCAAGAACAAAGAGATCCGCTGGCGCACCATGTACCACAAGATGACGGATGAGGCTGGCGGCATTCATTTGCCGCAACGGTTCAGCCTTTATTATCAGTTCCTGCTTCTCATGAGCCAGATGTTGATAAGGTTCGTGGCGCTTTTCCTAGCCCACTCCACGACACGTACATACAAATCACTTGGGATGCTGTCACTTATTCCCTAATCGCTAACATGATTCGCTCCAACTCTTGCTCTTACCAGATCTCCGCAATTCGACATGAACGCCATGGAGGCCCTGCAAAATCGCGTCTGCCAACTCCGTGAAAAGCAGGGCATCAAGTCTCCTCCGTCACCGGCCGGTCCTCTTGTCATGTCCGCAGCAGCAGCTGTATTCCGAGACAGAAGCCTCCATTGGGCCGAAGACATTTTTTCCCGGCCATTGCCTTCCCGGACGCCCCTCAAACACCTCAAGTTCTCGGAATGCTACGGTCCTTGGAAGGACGCTATCGTGCCGAAAGAAGCCCGGATTTTGTTTCGGCGTTCGTTTGACCAGGATCGCCTCACCATCTTGGCGTTTATTAACCCGTTTGACCGTTGTCCCTACCTGGTTGTTCGCAGCCTCGATACAGGCACCAACATGTCTGCCTTTTCGATATATGGCGTGCACGAGCTGTGCATTGAGCGTGATGGCAGCTGCCTCGTCATCAAACGTTGGAGTCATACGGAAAACACCTCTAAGTTGTGGGTATTGCTTTACTTTCTTACTTGGGAGGGTAGGTACTTCTCATTCCCATGACGTATCATACCATTCTTTCATAAAAAAACAATCAAAAATCAAAACTGACAACCCCATTCATAGAGCTAGTTCTCTTTCACTGTACCTTTGTTGCCATGAAATTTGAGGGTCCTACGGGAGCGGTCCACCCGATCGAACTCAATATCAGCCGGGAGAAGCGCCTATTCCAAGCGTAAGTTTCGTATCCAACCGGATAGTACGCACAATGCCTCTGTCCTCATATCCGATGTGAAAACTAACAGGGCCCACAAAGAAGCATCCTCGATGATGGATACAGGCACTCTCTTCTCGTCTACCAGGACACGAAAACACGGGCTCTACGTTTGCATGCCACCGTTTGGGACGGCTCATTGCGACGCTGCCCTGTCTGGACTGCATTCATCACAAACCAGTCTCTGTCGCCAAACTGGCTAGTACGGAAAGACAGGAATCGCATCCTTGTCAAAGACATTGAGCTATACGTGTTTTGCAACAGTTACCGGCCCGAACATATGAGGCAGAACAAGTACAATGCGCTCGAACTAGACTTTTTCACTGAAGAAGCCCAGGAAAGCTTCAGGGGGCTATTCTATTCACCGCCGAAAGCAACGGACGGCAGTAACCCGACAGAGTCGACGGCCCCGACCGATGACGGCGAGCGGACAGATGCATCAAAATGAAGGCCCAATTCCATATCGCCACTATCCCGGCCTCAATGCGTCATGAGACTTGTCCAATGGCAACACCGCACAAACAGCTTTTTGTTTTGCCCCTTTCTCTCCACATCTCCAATCTCAAAATGACCTACCCCTTTATGCTAGCACCATGTTTGCCTATCTGTATGTTGCGATCACGATTTATGCTTATGACTTTCACGACCTGACATTATCACATCTTGATTGAGCGAAGTAATATTCCACTGGCTTTTCCTAAAACTGTAGCGGTCTTGTTTTTTTGTTTTTTTTTGTACTCGCACCAACATCCTTCACTTACCATGTGAAAGACACTCTGAACGAGTTGAGACCCAAACATGATGTCTCATGTTCATTAACCTGCCTCCTGAGCAGTTTGTCATTCTTACTTTGTTTACCTTGTTTTTTCTCGAAGCTAATTTGATATTTGCACTTTATAGATTATGGAAATTTTTAACTACAGAAAGTGGAATGCGCATAATCGTCATTTATTTTTCACGTGGCTTAAGAACCGCTACGTTGCCGCAAGCCTGTTTCAATTTCTACGTGATTCACGATGAACATCCCGATAAAACTTTTCTTGGGCGTACAATGAATACGATTATGTGACCTTGGTGACAAGAAAGGTTTTTTCAAGCGGGAGTAAAACCTAAAACATGAGAAGAACGAAATAATTGGTTACTAGAATGCGTTGTCTCGTAAAAATGTTCGTATCACGCCACCCTCTCAAGTCTTCACATCCGGCTCGTCACGACCCACATACTCCTTGAACTTGAGAAGCGTCTTGGCCATGTCGATCTCGGGCTTGAGGAAATCTTGCGCATCTTTGCCGTACGTTTCTGGATCGCTTGTGTGCTGCTCAATGTACAGACGAATAGTTGCGCCGCTGGAGCCGGTGCCCGACAGGCGCACGACGATGCGCGTCCCATTAGCAAATGTTGCGTACAGGCCCTGGTTGTTAGACACGGAGCCATCCAGGTCCGTGTAGGAGAAGTCCCCGGCACCCGTCACCTTGCGGCCATCGACGCTGCTGCCGACAAAGTTGGGGTCGTTCACAAGTCCACGCAGGACGCCGACAACATTGTCGGCGCCGGCAGAGTCGACGTTCTCGTAGTCGTAACGCGTGAAGAAGGTGCGGCCGTACTCAGTCCAGAAATCATGCTGGATCTGCTTTATGGTAGGCGGCACGCCCGGCTTCTCGAGGCCCAGGCCGGCAATGATGTTGAGCCAGGCAACAATAGCCCACAGGCCATCCTTTTCACGGATGTGGTTGCTGCCAGTACCAAAGCTCTCCTCGCCGCAGATGGACAGTTTTTCGGCATCGAACAAGGCACAGAAGAATTTCCAGCCGGTAGGGACCTCATAGCAGGCCAAGTTTTGGCGCTTGGCGACAAGATCGACGGCGCCGGAGGTGGGCATACTGCGGGCTAGGCCGAAAACGCCATTCTTCTTGAAGTAGGGAATCAGACGGGCGTGGTGTGCGATAATGGCAAGACTGTCACCGGGCGAAACAAAGGCACCAGCACCGTAAATCATGTTGCGGTCACCATCGCCGTCGGAAGCAGCGCCAAAAGGAACCTTGCCATTCTCAACTGCTTCGACAAGAGAGTGGGCGTAAGTCAGGTTGGGATCCGGGTGGCCACCGCCAAAGTCTGGGCTCGGAACACAGTTTTGGACACTGGTAGGACCAAGACCGAGGGCCTTGTCGAAGATGGCGGTACCGTACGGTCCAGTGACTCCGTGCAGACCATCAAAGAGCACCTTGAAGTCAGGGTTCTTGGCGAAGAAGGTCTTGATCAAATCAAAATCGAAAATGTCCTGTAGCATCTCCACGTAGTCGGCCGTGCTGTCGACAACCTCAACTTCAAGAGGGCCATACTGGCGGGTGCCAATGGTGGAAATGTCGACATTCTCCAGCTCGAGCAGCTTGTAAGCAGTCAAAGCCTTGGCGGTCGCAAAAATCTTGTTCGTGACGGACTCGGGCGCCGGCCCTCCGTTGGCGAGATTGTATTTGATGCCAAAGTCGGCCTTGGGACCGCCAGCATTGTGGCTGGCGGTAAGAAGGATGCCGCCGGTCGCCTTGCGTTTGCGGATGAGGTGACTGGCAGCCGGGGTTGACAGGATGCCATTGTGGCCGATGAGGAGCTTCTTGACACCGTAAGCGGCACCGATGCGGGCGATCAGCTGGATAACTTCGGGGTTCCAATAGCGGCCGTCGCCTCCAATGACGAGGAAAGAGCCTGTAAGGTAGAGGATGCAAAACAACGTCAGTGGCAGGGTCTTTCTGGGGAAGGTATTGCCCATTGGCTACGGCTCGGAGCTTACCGTCGACGCCCTCTGGGATAGACAGCAGAATGCTTGTCACAAAGGACTCGCTGTAGTGAGGCTGCTGAAACACAACAACCTTCTTGCGGAGGCCAGAGCTGATGCTGTTAGTAGAGAGAAGACGTAACGCATGGGAGGAGTTGTAGAGCCGTACGTTCCAGGCTTCTGGTCGGTGAAAGGCGTGAACTCGACGGTCTTGGCAGCCATTGTAACGGCGGAGATGGGTTGGGTCGCAAAAGTCGTTCGGGTAGGACGTGAGGTTGGTTTCCTGCGCGAGAGAAACTCAAGACCGAAGCAGAGGACAGAGCGTCGTGATCGCTAGCAGCTGGATTTGCCCACTGTCAAATAAGGTTGGTCAATTGAGAGGTCTTATATGTAACCAAAGCACAGCTATACTTACGACGACCAGGGTACAAAAACGGTCAAGAGAGGGAAGGAATGTAAACGAAAGGCAGAAGTGAGACAATTTAAGAGCGTCGAGCAAGCTTCGGAAACGGGGAAGAAATGGAATGCTAACAATTCGACTCGGATTCGAGGAAATGGCAACCACGCCCAGAACGTGGTCTGGAATGTGGACGACCACTGGGTCGCCGCCAAAAGGTGGGGTAGTGACGACGAAAACAGCGAGAGGGGGAAGGAGACCAACCGTCGCAGCTTCTTTAGCTGGGGCCCTGGTTGGTGACATCACATCCGTGTTGTTTGTAGTGGAGACCTTGGGACAGCTCCAGGATCTGTTGAGCTGTTGAACGAACAACCCCTCCAGTGTCCTCCAAAACTGACATTGACATTGGCTGAGATTGGCTCGTTTGCCACCGCCAGGAACAGCTCCCGAGTCACCTTTATTGCAGTAATGGCAACGGCACCGATTTTGTCTCGAAACTAGACCAGGCTCCGTCATGACATTCTCATTTGGAAAACCCCCCTCATGGGTCACAGTAATTCGTTTACGGTTTTTATATCATAAAATGCTTGATACATCAAGTCTTGGGCCTGCCATCCTCTTCAACACAGTCCTTGCCATGTCCAAGCCCGTTGATGTCCAATGAAGCTCTTCAATAATGTAAAGGAAGAATAAAGTCAAAAACGAAAGTGAAAACGAGAGAATTAGAGCACTTGTAAGGACCAGCCAATGCCCATGTAAGTAAGTAGTAACGAAAATAAGCAAACATGGATGAGTTAGGATAGAGAAAGGCATTACACGTCATGAGTCGTCAAAATACATCCGCATTTTCAAACTCCATCCACTCAATGGGCTCCATTGTACCGCACACCCCGGCGGCCCATCTCCTTGCGGCCGACAGCATCTTCCGGCATCACCCAACCCCGCGCCCGCTTGGCAGTACGCTTCTCGGCAAGCTGCGGCAGCGGCATCCAGGAAGCACGAGGTGCAGCTTTACGACGCGTACCCTCAGCGGGAGCGCCAATGTGCGTGCTATATGAACAAAGGAGAGGCATCGACGATGCTGCTGAAGGAGATACAGCGGCAGCCGCCATCTCGTCACTTGCCAGCATGCAAAGACCCCACAGTGCCAGGCCGGCTGTCAGGGGCGTCTCCGCAAGCCCATCCTTTATGTCATCAACTGCTTGGGAGCTCACGGTCGTCTTGGCCAAGGGAACACTGGCAACCTCCAGCTGGCCGAACTGTGGCGTGGTCTCGGTGCCATTGCGCACGATGACAAGCTCGATCTCGGTGATTAGGAAACCGTAGCGACAGCTGTGCTCGCGCATCAGGTGGTGCAAGTGGGCCAGCCCGCGCAAGTACTCGACACGCTTAATGTTTCCTTCGGCGCGCATGCCAGTGTTGAAGCGGTCGAAGCTCTTAACAAGGCCGACAACGCGAGCGGTGGGCTTGCCACCGAAAAGCGCAGCAGCGGGGGCACTGTCGCCAGCCACATGACCAACAAAGAACTCGTCGTAGGTCGAGGCAGTAACGGCGTCGACGGATGCAGTCGAAGATGTCAGCTGAATCGGGCGCGAGGACGAGAAGGCGAGTGCGGCATTGATGCGCGGCAGGTAATGCGCGGCGCACAGGTTGTGTAGGTCTGACTCTGTCTCCGGATGGATGCTGCGGGCAGGCGCGTGCGGCGTCGGCAGGAGTGACACAGGCATGGGGCATGTCAATACAGAGGATGCACCGGGCAAAGCCGACAGGTTCGGCATTGTAAAGGATGACCAGGGGCGCACCTGGCGCACATCCCACCAATAATGCTTGGTGTTGGGGTCCCGAAGAGGGAACGATATGGTGCGCACCAAGGCAGGAGCTGGATTGGGCGCCGTCAAGTATGTCACCAGCGAGGTGGTCGGTCCTGATGTAGCGGGAGCCGATGTGGCTGATGGTGGCGTAGCTGTGATGACGGGCACCGTCACCGGGATAGAGAGGGGTGCCGGCAAGACCACGGGCTCTGGCGAGGCGGACTCCACCGATAGTGGAGAAGTCTCCCGCGGCATGTACTGCTGAGGCTGTTGTTCCTGGTCCCGGTACAGGTACGTCTCTCTTTCCTGGCTGCTGCCATCTGCGGTCATGTAGTTGGTTGGCACGGTGCCTGGGTACGGCGCAAAGCCATACTCATAATCGAACTTGCCATCCAAAGTGAAGCTGCCATCAAGGCTGCATGTCGATGCACGGCGACTGTGGATGGACTCGCTCTGGTGGTGATGGTGGTGGTGCTGCTGCTGCGGGAAAGCAGACTGCGTAAGCTGTGACAGTTGCGTCGATGACTGAACAAAGTTGACAGGAGAGCACAGCAGTGTAGGCGGTGGGGGTGTAGACTCGAAAACGGACACGGGCGTCACGGCCCTCGCCGATGCAGCTTGCTCCTGGGTGTTGTCGACAGAAAATGACTGAGAAGCGTTGAAAGGCACAACCGAGTCTGGGTTCGTGAGGCTGCGCATATGGCGTGAGGCAGCCGCTACAGATGCAGCATACGGCTGCTTGGGTGTGGCGAGAGCACTTCGACGTCGGTTAACAGAGGTCGTAGAACGGCTCCTGGTGGTACCGCTTCCAGGCGTCGTCGGGACAGGCGAGGCACGAGCACGCTTGAGAGGTGCCGTGGCAATGGTAGCGTCTTCAGGCCCTAACGCTTGGTCCTGGGACCTGATCTTAGGGAGTAGCAAGGGGCCGTGAGTGCGGATAGGCGACCGAACCGGCGTGCTGTTTCGAGTGCTGTATGCGGAAACAGCTGGGGTAGTCAGGAATGCCTCGGAAGGAGTCGACGAGGCATATGAGTAGGCAGAGTAAGCCGAGCATTGAGAGCTGGAGCGCGCATGGCCGTGTCCATGATGATTGCCGCCGTTGTTTCCACCATAGGGTTGAAAGGGAATTTCCAACAGCGAGGAGGGATTGTAAGAGAAAGAGTGGGAGATGGCCGGCGGCGGTGGCGTGGCCGGGTCACACGAAGGGAAAGTAAAGTCAAAAGCAGCGTCCGCTGCCAGAGAAGACGACATGATACAGGACTTGACGAGGATAGGAAGATCCAACTGTACGTCTCCGGGACGGCAATGGAGAAAATTATGAATTATTGGTGATGACAGGGTAAGGAGACCAGCTCCAAGGAAGATAATCGACAAAAGAAATGATGGGGAAATCGAAAGGCGATGTTCACAAGAGTTACCTGTTGATATCAGGCCTGAAAGTGAGGCCAGGGGAAATGGCCGATGTAAATAGAGGAAGACGAGAAATGCAGATGGTCATCAACAGAGCCAAGGCGAGTTAGATGGGAAGCGGAGGAGAGGTCAAGAAGGTCAAGAACGACCATGAACACGAAGCTAATGTTGGATGAGGATCGGGCAGGAGGAGGAGGACTGGATGAGAAGAGAGGATATCGAGAAGACGGGAAAGCAGGAGGGGAGGAGGCAAGATACTTATCCTCAAGACACTGCAGGTCGGGACAAACGACAGGCTGAGAGGGCGAGCAGAGGGCGAGGAGAGGAGGAGCAGGAGGAGCAAAGGACGGGCAGAGAGGGGGTGTGCAGTGGCGTGGGAACAGCTGCACCTCAACGGTAGTTTCTCAAGACATCGACTTACCCGCGTAAGGGGGGTATGTAGGTGGCCGGCATCGTAGGCCGTGATCCTGGTCGCGTTCGTGGCCGCGTTGGACGACGCATTCGCACCGTCGTCGCCGTGGCCGTTTGCGCGTTAGGGCTAGACACCCGAAACTCTGAAACGCGAGGCCTAAAAAAGGAACTGCAGTCACTCCAACACTTGGCCAGACCATACTGCAGCAGATGAATTTTCCATACAACGTACACGCTCGGCAACATCAGCAGCCGCGCTGGCGGGGCATTCGAGATATGGTGGACAAAGGAAGCAGACTTCTCGCTATTTGCTCATTTGGGCCGCTTGACCTGGCCAGCTGGGATATTGTCCAAAAGACCCAATTTGGCGCTGGGAAGGACCGGGACTAGGAGACAGGAAACAGACAGGTAGGACACTTCAAACATGATGTTAACAGTGGATGTAAACAACGAACACGGATAAGTGACAATCAACAACTCAAGAAAGAATGAGAGGCAACGGATATCAAAAAGGTACGTACCGCCCAGTTGATCTTCTGGGGCAGACAATGCTATTACAAGGCGAGCAGGGGTGTGTAAGTGGTCCAGAATCGTTCACCCAACAGCCAACCACAGCAGAGGAACATGCCGCGCTGGGTAGTGTGGAGGAACCCAGCCAGGTTGCTGCCCAAAATAAGAACGGGGAGAAGTACAACGAGCGTCGTACTGGTCTCCTGGTGTAGTAAGGCGTGCAGTCAAAGCTCCCAAAGGACTCTCGACAGGTCAGAAACAGGACGAGACAATGAAAAAACGAGCTCCGGACACGGTGCGACGGGAAGCTAAGGCCTGGGATTTGGGACATTGCTGCAGATCCACTCGCTGGCGGCTTCTGTTTGCTCTCAGTGCTGATGTCGACGAGCTAAAATATGCACGTTGTGTGGGGCACAAAGCAACCCTCCTCTTGCACCTGCAGCTTCTCTGCAGGTTGCTACCGATTGCTTCTTTCTTTCTGTACCCCGTTTGTTTCGTGTTCCCCGTGCCGATTTGGTACATGCCTGTCTCGTTGTGTCTCCTTTATCAACCATCTCTGACTCACAGACGAACACATGGCACGTACCGGAACGGCAAGGGTCATGAGGTCGAAGGGAGCGACGTAAAGATACGCGTGGGGTTGGACGCGGGAGACGGGGTGTGGGATCAAGCCGTGAAGGTGTCTGAAGCCCAAAAGGAGCCGAAAGCTGCGACGTGTTGGGTTCGCGATACGTTGGCGCCACTTTGGTGGACGTGATGATTTGAGAAGCAGCGCTGCAGTTTGTGGAAAGACATGAAGGTACGGACTTGCGTATCACGTGTGAATCCAAGCCAACCCAATCGTTTTCAAATCATGTTTTTTGATGTTTTTTCATCGAAACCTTCATTCTCATCCGACCAGTGTTTTACTCCATTTCTCCATCCGGTCCACTTGTTGTCTATTCTGCATGAAGCGCAATCTCGTTCCCTCTATTTTTAACAGACTGCCCAGCCATGGTTTGGCCGCACATCCGACGTCCAGGCAAGTAGGTTCTTCGTGTAAGAACCTTTCGGTGCATCATCCCAGAAAAATGCATTTCAGATTTGGAGTATGGAGACCCGCGCTTGCTTCAGATCCACAAACATGACACAGGCGCCATTGCACCAAAATAGGACGCAGTGGGCTTGCTTGCTGGGAAATTCAGTTGTGGCTGAGTCCTGCAGAATTGAAGAAAGTAGAAGATGGTCTACGACACTTGTTCGAAGAGATTGCAGCGGCAAGCTTATCCAATGTTGTGATAGAGATGACTTTTTCACCATAAAAGATGTGGCGCTCCTCAGAAACCTTCCCCCTGCTATACAGGGATATACACCAGCCCGCTCACTAAAAAAAGAACGAAGCGCGCGGGAAAGAGAGGCTGGCATTGCCCAGCCATACATACAAGCTGGGCATAAAGTATCTAACAGGCATAAAAGCGGCACAACGATACATTAGGAATGTGAACATTCTTAATAAGATGGGTACAAATTCGACACCCATACGACTTACGGATGCACTCCATAGTCTGCAAAAACAAAGCCAACACCAGCAGTCACGTCTACTGTATCAACTTCAGTGCTTTACTACACACCTAGAAGTTGTAGTGGCAGTACTTCCCAGCAGCCTATTGAAGAGGTCACTGGCGCCTAGGTATTTACAGACGGATGTGCGGTGGAACATAACACAACTTCTTGGGACAAAAATGAATGCGTGTGTGAGAGAGAGATAGAGAGAGACGGGGAATGTGCATTGCATGTCTGCGGTCCGTCTCCGTCGTCTGTCAGTGGCCTGTTTGTGGCCCCAGGGGTCACCATCCATACAGCCATGACCTGTCGCTTAGTCATTTTCGCCTGTAAAATGCTTCCTGTTATTGTCCTACAACATCTTGCCATGACAGGCTCCTTCTTTGCACAGCCACGCTGGGCGCCAAACAGACAAAAGTAAGCCGTCCCAAAAGTCGCTGGTGGCCTCCTGCAATCCCGTCCAGGACACACATACAGCCCTATCAGCCCATAGAAGGTAGCATCAAGAGCGCAAGGTAAAGCCATCCGACAAAAATACATCTGCCACCAAAGCGTTGGCCGGCTTACAGGCCATGCTTCATGAGCAGCGAAATTACTGAGCGCCAAAGGAGAAAGACAAGAAGAATGATCTCCTGGCAATCCTGGCGAGGACGACAGAAGCTGTAGCCGCGCGCGCAAAGCTCTGTTTACGCGCCCATTCTGTCTCCCACCAGCGCCAAACTGATCCTATGATCTGATTAGCCAAATTTGGCTAGCCACACAGACAGTCTGATACGTTCTTATTTCCATTTTCGGAAATACCCGCCACCGCCATTTTCCTTGTCACTCTCTAAGGTTGACCAACCTCGCCAACTGCATCGATATCGGGTGTTCGTTTTTGTTTCGTTTCATGTTGCATTCGTGAACCCGGGCAATGCAATACTGCGTGAAAGTCTGCTGCCCTTTTCCTGTTTCGATTTTACTTGTATTTCGCTCTTACTCCAGCTATGACTCACAGCTGCAGAGGTTACTCTTAGTCCGGCAGGAGCTACTGCACCTCCTGTGCCTCAGCCCCGCTTTTCCCGTCCAACGCGTCCGGCCACTCACCACGCGCCAACCCCGCGTCAATTCCGTGTCGCCTCCGCGTCATCGCCGCGTGGGGCCGGATGTTCCGCCTCTTCGCTGCCATACAGACGCGTCTCGTCTCGGAGAAAGACGAGACGCGTCCCGTTTAAATGCGTGTCACCCCCGGACTGCTGGTCCAACACCACCCCAAACCAACCCATCCTTCCTGCGGAGCGGCACATGGACTACACTCCTTTCACCGCAATCACGCAGAGATTACTCTTTTTGCCTTCCCTTCGTCTGGCTGTGGCTCCTCTCCTTTTCCTTTTGCATGGATATCTCCACACCCTCCTTGGATCTTCAGCACTTCACGCCGTACGCGGTATTTTCAATTCTGATGACGGAAAACAAGGCAGCAACGGTTGACTAGTCCGCTGTGCTCTGTTGCGCAAGTGTATCAAGTATGTGACGAACATACCAGAATTGGCCAGTTGTAGAGTTCTGTCTGTATGCCTGGCTAAGCAACATGGGTATCTATATCCAATCGATTTGGCCGCCGGCCATGAGAATCACACTCCAGGGAAATAAGGAAGAAGAATTAAAAAAAGCGTACAGTTCAAATAATGGAGGGGTAGCGTCTGGACGTTTGCTCGGTCCGTTTTCTTCTCGACTCACAGAGGTACCGTCTTCCATCCTTGACGGTCTGACATGACAAAGAAAATAATTATGTGGTTGCCGAGCCTGCCGCCTTGTGCCGTTCTGTGCCTAACATTCACCACTGCCGATGCAAATGTCTATCACGTTGTGACTCATTGTAGTGACCGCCTCGCTCAGCGCCGCCCAGTTGTCCGAAGAACATGGGACTTTCCACTTTTGGCTCCTTTTTTTCGCCGCTGGCCTAGCAACCCCGAGACGCAGTCGCCGAAGGCACCTCCACCGGTTGCTGGACACATCGTAGGGCACGCTTCATTGCCTCGAGACGGTCTTGTTCTTGCACGAGCATGCCTCGTGCCAGGTCCCGGATTGCTCGTCGCCCAATTCGTTCGTGCATGTCCTGCCAACCTGCGAGCTCGGCAGCAACAGTTTGCTGCGAGGACCGAAGCTCGCGCGATAAATCATCGCTAGCGGCCTCGCTCTGACGAGCCCGCTCTTCTCGCTCCTCTTTCAGTCGCTGCCGCGCGTCGTCGAGAAGCCCCAACGGCCATCGCGTAGACCGGTTCATTGACTGGTACTCCCGTTCAGCCTGCTTGCGGGCCGCCTGGATTTGGAGAATGAGACGGGGTGGGCGGCCTAAGGCCACGAGTATGGCCTCCACAGTCGATTGGATAGCTAGGAAGGCAGCTCGAAATTGGACGTGTGCATTCGCCTGAGGAATTGCAAGTGCGCGCACGTAGCACTCCATGGCTGCAGTATGGGTTGCCGGAAGAAAAGAAATAAATCCTACTTCCCTGCTGAGAAACGCGCCAGCATCACGAAGGTCTACAGTCCAGATGTTAATCAGATAGTTGCCCAGACGGATTCAAGTCAAAGATGCACATACCAGAGGAGGCTATGCTGACTGCATTCGCCCGCCGCATCACGCTCTTGGTCGAATGATTCACCCCGCGTACCAGCTCGCGCGCGTGGTCCACAAACTGCTCAACCTCACGTATGTCGGTCAGTGGTTCCAGCTCGTCCCGCACCTTTTCGGCGCGGGTTTCTGCTTTGAGCCTACTCCGCTGGGCCATCATATCAGGTTGGATATCAGGAACAAGAATGAATTCCCACAACATCTCATGCTGCGCAAATGTCGGATGCATGATCATCATGCGCAAGAACCAGTCCATACGAAGCTGTAAGTCTTTCAACATGGCCCTACTCGGCTTGGAGGGAATCTGGAAAGGTGAGCGGAGGCCCGCTACAGACGGAATCCAAGAAGCCGGATTCTCTAACGCAAGCAACCGTGTCAAGTGCTCAAAGTCAGTCTGGGATCGACGGCAAGTAGTAACCGCGTAGCTGACCGGCGAAACAGCATGTCCTGACTTGACGACGAACCGCACACTTGCATCCTCGACGAAATAAGAACGGACGACCGATGTGGTCCGTATGTCTGGCCCCGAAGGCATCGATAAGAGCGTCAGATCGTCAATCTTATTCCGCACCTCGTCATCCTTGGCCAGCTCCACTGCCGTTAGGCCGCGTAGCTCTTTGGCGCCAATATCAACACGTGGGTCACGGAAGAGCGTTTGAACCATGGGCAACCGTCCGTATTTGCTGGCCACCATCAATGGTGTAAACATTTTGTCGTTCACTGCGTTGACATCCACGTCGCAAAGCTGCAGAATACGAGCCGCGAGCTGCGTATGGTTGACAATGTGCAAGAGGGTGTTACCGCGCGCATCGACATGCTCACTAACGTGTAGTCGTCCACTGTCGCTCTGTGTCGCTGTCGTGACCCGGATTCCTTCGCTGACCATCTCATAGTAAGCTTCGTGATCGTATGATCGGCAGAGTGCGAACAGTGGCGTCTGGCCTTTCTTGTCCCGCTGTCGCCAAGGCATCATTGAGCCATATGACTCAATTAAGAACGGCGCATGAAACAAGTAGTGTGCAACGCTACGACCCCAAATATCTTGCAGCGAAAAATAGGCAGCCATTTGATCCGGTGTCACCTCGTCGGAGTCAGCCAGGACATTGATCACCGTCATAATCAGATCTTTGTTTCCCAGCTGAACAGCAGCACTCAACAGTGTTGTTTCCTCGTGATTGACGTCGCCGAGTACAAAGCTCACCGGAAAGTAGGCCCGCAAGCTCAAATAGTATTTGAGGGTTTCGATCCGCTCGTTCTGCACTGCCATCATGAGGAGTGACTCGCCAAGAGAATCATGTGTTTTCGACAATCGTTCGACGGAAATGTCGCCTGCGATGCTGCCATCCATATTGCTGCCAAAACTGGTGGCACGAGAGCGATACGATATCTCCGAGCTGCTTGACATACTCCGCGTATCCAAAGCCACCCTTTTTGTTCGCTTTATGGGAAAGTGCAGCGAAAAGTCGACAGTGCCGTTATCGCCTCTATCCGCTTGAAATGGAAAAACATGTCCAAGACCAGAACCCCTGGAATACGCCTCGGACTCGGAGAGAACCAACGAAGAACGGCGTGACGTTCTCGACGATCGCGACGAACTGGGTGCCGAGCTATTTGAGAACCCAAAGCTCGTAAGAGATGACTGCCATTCACCACTAGAAACGCGCCGCGAACTGCTGTCCTCTTCTCCATTGTCGCTGTCGACATCTCTGGCTTCGACAGCGTCTTCAGGACTCGGCTCCATGATGGCTTTGATTGCATCCAAATCACCCTTCGCCGTCGCCTCCCAGAGAGATTTGTTGCGCCGACTCGCGCGCCGAAGACCACTGGAGTCGCTTATCAGGTACGTAAGCACAGCTTCGAATGTGCTTAATGCATAGCCCATTTCGCCACCGTCAACATCATCTATGAAGATAAAGTGGCGCATGTAGATGAAGCGCGCCAAGAGGTGCCGCTGTTGCGCTCGAATAATAATGTATAGAAGAAGCGACACCAGTGTGTCGGCGTTGATCATAATGAGAGGCTTCTCGGCATTTGCCTGATTCGAATCATCTCCAGTCGCATCTTTGTCGGTGTCACTGCCGTCGCCCTTAGGAGGTGAGCTTGTGAGCTGGCTGACTGACTTTACAGTCGCTAAGAGAATAGACAGCATATCCTGCGGACATGCTGCTGTTGCTATTTTTCGAAACTCTTCCACAACGCGGCCCAATGCGAGGGTCACTTCATGCTTCTTTCTGGGGCCGCCGTCGATGTCCATGCCGAGCTGCGACAAGTCAATGGAGTCCATTTGGCGAATCTTAGCTTCGAGTTCCAGGTCTTCTTGTCGTTTCAGGGCACTAAGGTGCGGAAAGATGATGTGGTGTAAATTTTCCGAAATGTACCGTTCAATCAGCCTCTCCACCAAAGGGCCTGTGAGATCCGTGGTCGCACCAAGATGAGATAGTTGTTGTTTGTCAACTCCTTGGAATATATCGATGGCCGTTGTGACGGCGGTTTCAAGAGAGGTCCGCATCGCATGCTCGTCATCGTCGGGATAAAATTCTTCGCTAACTTGGCTGCCGCTGTAAGTCGACATATTTGAGCCATTTTGGCCGTCCGTGCCATTGGTTGCAACAGATACATTCAAAACAACATGACTGCCATTACTGCCACCACTGTTGGCGCTCTCGACTCTGTTCGACTCCGCCGCTGCAGCACTGCCCTCTAGTAAACCTCGGCTCCTTTCCACAGGTTGGTCCTGGATCTTAGCCGGGGGCCTGGGGGGGTCTGCAACACTGTTCAAGCGTGCCTTTTTCATGGTTGCTTGTATGGAACCATCGAGTTCCGAGTCGGGAGTATGGTTTGCTGTGGGCGGTAGAGGAAGGGTCTGCTCAAAAGCACTCGTAAACTCCCGATAGATTTTATCCAGGCCCGGTTGCATCTGGCGTGCGATAACAGGGAAGTGGTTCAAAAGATCGTGGAAGCTTTTGATATCCTTCTTTCGTGGTGTCGAAGGACCAGAGTCATCGCTGGTGCCAGATGCACTGCCGATCTTGGATTGTTGCTGTTGGGTCTGAATTGGACCCCTCGGTGAAGCTTCGCCGGCAGCAGTCGCCGCCAAAGCATTGACAGTTGTGTTACTAGGTATGATCCGTGGGAGAATCGCTGGAGTCGTTGTGACCGGCTCCCAGTTGCCAAGAAGGGGTCGCGAAATATAGTAAATGAGCCACGGCTTCGGTTCCAGCGTGTCGGCGTACCAAATGGTGTCGCCAATCAAGGTAGCGTGATTCAAACTCTTGAAACCTGTGCATAGAATTCGTTAGCAACAGTCACCTTGCTGCTACCATAAAGTGATCGTTAACTGGCATCCTAACCTTTGTTGCTGTAAACAAGGTTGTCCTTGATAACAACGCTTCGACCGTTGAAGGTGCCGTATGGTTTGGCCTTGCCACGCATCTCCCGTAGATTAACACCGCCATCCTTACCGCCGGATGCATTGGCTGCTGCCGCTGCCACCCGGGGGTTGGGCATGCGGATGACATGGCTGGCAAGAAACTCATCCAGGTTCGGGAGCTCCGCCACGGCCGCGTTGCCAAACTCTGCGTCGCGGCATGTCAGCAGCACCTCAGTTGTCGGGACCAACAAAATGTGATTGCTTGTCGGGTTGCACTGGGTCGGTAACGAGCTGTTGAAGAATGCAGCGAGGAATGGGTTCAGGGGGTAAGGCATCGTGTCGTCGATGGCCTTGAGGCTATGCGCAGTGGCCTCGGCACTGGAACAGTCGCTATTGTCGCGCAATCCTATCACAAAGGAGAGACTGGCGTGTCTTTTGCCTGTTGATGCCCGTACCGTGAACTCAGCGCTGGTTCATCCCACGGCGGGTGGTGCCGGCCGCTGTTCCTGGCATCAGGAGCGGGTAGGGCCCAGCAAGCAGAAAGGAGCTCTGCCAGCTATGAAGGAGCTGTGGCTCGCCCTGCGTCTATCCAGCTCGAGTGGTTCTGTGTCGTTCAAGCGGGTGTGGTGGAACAGGTCGTGCTCTTGGAAGGACAATGGTAAAATCCTATCGTGGGAATGGATGGTAAGGACGGATTTGTTGTTTTCGATCTTCGACGCTTGATGCTGTCGTGGAAATGCAAGCCGCTGTAAAAATGGAGCCCGCTGCGCTGACTTGCAGTCTTATCTTTTATCGCTTGTCTTAAAATCCGCGGCCAGGGTGGTAGTAACGGGGATCTAGGCAGGAACATGCCGTTCGCTGTGTACTGTTGGGTCGAGGCGGATGGATGATGGTTGCTTCTGTTGCTTCTTGTTGTAATAATGGGCAGCTTTGCAATTAATGAGGGAAATCGCTAGTTCTGACGAATGCTCGGTATCTCTTCCCCAATCGCGACTGTGCAGCTCTTACCTAAACAGGGGCGAAGGAAAAACGAACCTGGGCCGTTTCTGCGGAACAACTGCCCAGAACAGTAACATAGCCAATCAAGAGGCCTTACCATATGAAATAACCCCATGCTTGTTCTTTCCTGGCCTTGGCCTCAGTACGGGCGCAATTGCCATAGGGCTTAACTCTGGCATCCTGACCAGGTTGGCGCCGTCGAGCTCCACTTTATTTGCAAGCTACCACTACAGCTAAGCAACGCGTTTGTGATCAATATTCCAGTAGACGGACGCCTGGAGTGTCCAATCCACTTTCTGGTGTTTCATGTTCGGCAGGAGCTTCCGTTGCCGTATGCCGCAAGTCATGGTCCGTATGCAACAAATAATAATAGCAATAACAAAGTTATATACAACTAGAGAAGACCATGTTGAGTTTTAATATGAATAAAACTTGCTCTAATTTTTAATCTATTTTTATATATATATTTATTTTTCTCTTGTATCCGTTGCTTTTCTTCGTTTAATTTCAATTTTAATGTTTTAAGCTGGCAATGAAGTGCCATTTTCTCAATGATATTTTAAACAGCCCCAGTGAAAGAATATGCTAAATTGTTCACTACGGAAATAAACAAACTTAGTATGTGGTATCGACAAGCAGTCAAAACTCCTTGAGAACTCCGTGAACCCCTTAAGTACCAAGAAATACAAGACTCATAATTTTGTACAATGAACTGAAAAGTAAGTGGGCGTTAGGCCATTCAGCGAAAGGGACAAAAAAAATAGGAAGATCATTGAGGAAAAGCAAAACGGGGACAAGAAAATAAGAAGAAGCCATGGTGATGCAAAATACCGACCACGGTCTACGCCTTCATTTTCTACCCATGTGGCAATTACATTGTAGGGACCCGCTCGGATGGCGGCATAGCATTGCCCGCGGAGTCCCGCGAGAAGCTGGTTCGCCCTTTCCCCTTGGTGCCGCTGCGTTGGCCAGACTGTATATCGGCGTCGCCTTCCTCAAAAGGCTCGGGGTGGTATTCGTCAGATGCTCGAGTGCCGGTCATACTGGACCGAGCGCTGGTTGGGGGGGTGTCCAAACCAACGAGGTGGATCTGGTGTTGTGAAGACTGCCGAAGCATGCTTGTTCGTTCGCCATGCGCATCATCGTCATCGTCGTCCCCGTAGGCACTGTAGGAATCTTCGTAGCCGTTGCTGCCACCTCCAGGGTGCAGCAGCTCGCCGTCTGCAGAATCGAACTCGGGCGGCTCCACCCACTCACGCGGAACCAAGCACGGGAGAGCCAACCCAATACTAGCAGCGCGGTTGAGCCATGCGGGACCAGGCCGCCCTGTCAATTTGAGACACAAAAAGGCCGTGAAGTGGTTACAGTTTTTTGTGAGTAGGTTGTAAGACGGGCCGTGGAACGCCTCCGAAGCACTGCGGATAATTGCGTCAATCTCAGCTGGCGTTGCCAATGTGAACCCTTGTAAGATCTCGCAGCGAAATGTGCCACCTGGGGGTTCATGGCGCGGGCTTGTCCAGTACACGCCTGTTATACCGTGGCGGTCGTGGCCTCCGTATGCGTACTCACGGCCGTTGATGACAACGCCAGAGTGAAGCAGGGATGTGCCCATGTGCCATAAAAGAGAGGACCACCGGCTAGGCTGAAGCAGGGAACTGGGTTAGTAAACATATACCTAGGAGTATGATTTTAGAAGAGTGGCGAAGCATACTGTGAGAAGATCGTAGACATTGATAACAATTTCGGTCTTTTGTAGCGATAGAGTCGACCGGTGCGAGGCGCGGGAAGATGTCTTCTTGTACTTCTTAGGAGCCATGCCTGGAGACGTGCATGAATGTGAATGAGGGTGGAATACAACGGCGCTCGAAGTTGTTTTGCCCAGTAGGATTGCCTGTGATGAAAAGCAGTAGGTCGCAGACAGACGAAGCTTCCGGAGACGCGAAAAAGCGAAATGTTCTCAAATATCGACGGTAGCAGTCTCGTATATGATCAAAGCCTGCGAAATCGAAGAGATAAAGAGTTTGAGAAAGGAGCTCTTCCAAGATGAAACGAACGCAACGCCGCAATCCGTTGGTAGAGACTGGCAAAGGAAGACTGCGCCTGACTGTAGCTATAGAGGTACAAAGGGACGGTTTAAACGATCGGTTGGCTCACGTAGAAAGACAATCGAGCTCAGAGTGTGTAAAGTTCTTCGCGAGTGTGTTGACGAAGAGAGGCATGTTCTTTTGAAACAGGGAAGAGAGAGGGGCGAAGTTAAAAGATGCAGCATTACAAGGCTCACTCCGGGAAGGTGCCTATCAAATTGGCCTGGCCGCAGCAAACTTGCCAAACCAAGCATGACGCAGCCCAGTGGTAGCTGAATGCGGATGTCCTAGCTAGGCAAAGGCGTGGTTTGGCCCACCTTTGACTAGGTGAGGCGAAGCGGGTGACCGGAAGAAATGTTTGTCCATCGCCGGGTCTTAACAAGTTCACTAGACATCACATCAAGCTCGATGTGCAGACTCTCTTTTAATGCCCCACCTTTGCATTGAGATGGCTCTCCACTACACAGTACACTGGGCCCCGCCAAAAAAGCAGAGCGGCTGGGGAGAGAGATCCCAGGTTCATGCAAATTTTTTTGCTTCATTACAAGCTCGTTAGAAAACACATCTGCGACAAAACATTTAATCCCCCAGCACACGCACCGCCCCTTTCCGTAGAGAAGGAATTTTTTCTTCTCTTCTTTGCTCTTTTCTACCGGCGTATTTCATTTAGGGGGCCTTGAGGCTGGAAACAGCCAGCCTTCCCCACGTCGCCCAAGACGTCGGCATTCACCTGTCTTCGCCCGTGCGCTGGTTCAACGTCGTCTTTACAGTACTCGTTCGCACAACCGCTTTTCCACCCATCTCGAGCTGCAGCCCGGCCTGTACTTGTCCTTTATTCAAAATCACTCCTCCCTCGTTGCACCGCACGTCTCCATAGTCGAAAGACTAAAAACGGCAGAATGCCCCCGAAGAAGGCTGTCGTTGAGGAAAAAATCCTGCTGGGCCGGCCCGGCAACAACCTGAAGAGTGGCATTGTCGGTCTTGCCAATGTGGGCAAGTCAACACTTTTCCAGGCCATCACCAAGAGCGACCTGGGCAACCCGGCGAATTTCCCTTATGCTACGATCGACCCCGAGGAGGCGCGCGTCATCGTGCCGGACGATCGCTACAACTGGCTGGTTCAGAAGTACAACCCCAAGTCGCGTGTGCCTGCCAACTTGACTGTGTATGATATTGCCGGTCTGACGCGCGGCGCTTCTACGGGTGCTGGCCTGGGCAACGCTTTCTTATCGCACATTCGCTCCGTCGACGCCATCTTCCAAGTTGTGCGGTGTTTCGACGATGCTGAGATTATCCACGTTGAGGGTGACGTGAACCCGACGCGGGATCTTGACATTATCAGCGAGGAGCTGCGGCTGAAGGACATTGAGTTTGTCGAAAAAGCTCTGGAGAACCAGAAGAAGAAGACCCGGCAAGGTGGCCAGAGTTTGGAACAGAAGAAGGCGCGCGAGGAGGAGGCCACGATTGAGAAGATCTTGGCATGGCTGAAAGACGGCAAGGATGTCCGGAAGGGCAACTGGACGCCCAAGGAGGTACGTATTCTTAGCCGCATGCTCAATGCCCCAGTCGTGCCATCTTGCCTACGTTTCAACTCTTCCGTCACACTGCAACAACCTTCCCCATGCTTTTTATGATGACAAAGGGCCAAAGCGCCTGAACCTATATAAACCCAGCTCTTCGAACAGAACCAGCTCGCTGGGGACGTCATGAGATGAAATTTCTGTCTGATCGTGCATTGTTGTGCAATTGCGTGTGTAACCTGCACTGCCCAGCACGAGATGTGATTCACTATCTGACCTGACCCCTACCTGCTGTTTCGCTGCTTGCTAACACATGATTCCAGATCGAGGTCATCAACCCTCTGTTCCTCCTGTCGGCCAAGCCTGTCGTCTACCTCGTTAACCTGTCCGAGAAGGACTTTATCCGCAAGAAGAACAAGCACTTACCCAGTGTCGCGGCGTGGATCAAGGAGCATGCTGATGGCGACCCGATCATTCCCATCTCTGTTTCCTTCGAGGAGCGTTTGACCCGCTTCGAGACGGAGGCCGAGGCCGCTGAGGAGGCCAAGAAGCTCGGCGTCGAGTCAGTCCTGCCAAAGGTTATCCTGCAGATGCGCAAGGTCCTCAACCTGGGTAGCTTTTTCACTGTCGGCCCCGACGAGGTGCGCCAGTGGACCATCCGCAATGGCACCAAGGCACCGCAAGCAGCTGGTGTCATCCACACGGACTTCGAAAAAACGTTCATCCAAGCCA